TGATTTAATTGTACCTATAGGCAAGAGAAATAGTTTTTGAACAATCAAAAAATGACTTACCATTAACAGTAACATTGACTGAAGTTCTAATGTTGTCACTGGGTAGGACAAATGAATGATTAGTACTTGATATACTGTACTGGCAAGTATATTGTCCAGCATCAGATAATGACACATTATTGATAGTGTAGCTGATAGTGTGTTCAGTATTATTATTGATACCAGTATATGAGTGTAGAGTGTGATTAGAGGAATTGAGCCATTGTATGTTCAGATTAGTAGTAATATGAGAAGGATAAGTGGCAGTACAAGTTAGAGTAATGCTGTCACCAACACTATAGTAAGGCTTTAACTGATTAACTGAGGGATTTTTACCATTAGGAACTAAAATAGATGCAAAATAGTATTATTGAATATTAAAAATGTTACAAAACTACTTACTTTTAACTGTAATACTTGTGAAATTATAATTTATTTTACTGCGTATGACATCATTATTATTTGTTGCATTAACAAAGAAGGAACAAGTGTACTGTCCAGCATCAGATAGTCTTGCATTACCAATAGTGTAACTAAAAGAGTGTTGGGCTTTATCATTGACTTCAGTATATGAATTTAGTCTATCCAGACCATAATGGTGCCACTGTATGGTCACAGTAGTATTAACATCAATAAGGTGATTAGTAGGATAACTGATAATGCAAGAGAGAGTAATGTTATCATTAACATTATAGTAGGATTTGGAGGGATGGACCAGTATATATGGAGTGATGACATTTGGCACTGTAGGTTAGACATAAAAAATAGAGAAAAAAATTGCACCTGCTTCTTACTTTTTATATTAATGATGGTAAAATTTCTGGTAGCATTACTTGTAACTATATGAGAAACACTAGTATTAATGAAGAAGGAACAAGCATACAGTCCAGCATCAGATAGTCTTGCATTACTTATAGTGTAGGTAAGAGTGTGTTCATTATTATCATTGATAATGGTACTGAAGTTAAGAGTGTGATTAGATGAATTGAACCATTGTAGAGTCAAATTAGTATCGACATCAATGAAGGAAGAGTATGGATAAGTGACTGAACATGAGAGGGTAATGTCACTGCCAGCATCATACACAGACTGATGAGGAATGAGATTAATTACTGGAACCTTGTCATTAGGAACTAAAAGAAACAAAATGTACAACTAACAACAAAAAATGATTTTACTTTTAATAAAAACATTAGTTGAAGCTGTCATATTTTCACTGGGTAGGACAAATGAATGATTAGTACTTGATATATTGTACTGCATGACAAGTATATTGTCCAGCATCAGATAATGACACATTATTAATAGTGTAGCTGATAGTGTGTTCAGTATTATTATTGATACCAGTATATGAGTGTAGAATGTGATTAGTGGAATTAAGCCATTGTATATTCACTTTAATGTCAATGTCAAGTAAAGAATAGTTAAAAATAGGGACAGAGCATGCAAGATTTATATTGTGACCAACATTGTAATATGAATTTAATGGAGTAATTGATGGATCATTACTTTTTGGAACTAAAAAAAATCAATTGAAATAACCCAAACATAAAACTCACTTTTAATTGTTACATTAGTGACTCCTGTCCTGGCATCACTTGGTATAATATAAGGATTATCAGTGGTACTATTGAGATAATATGTACAATTGTATTCTCCAGCATCAGATAGCTTTATATTAGTGAGAGTATGATTGAAGTATTTATTGTATGGATAAATAGAATATTGCTGGGAAAGATTTCTATTACAACTCCATTTAATATTAACAGTAGTATCAACATTAACCAGTGGTGAGTTAGGCTCAGTGACTTTACAAGAGAGAATGACATCACTACCAACTTCATAATAGGGTTCTGTAGGTTTAAACTCCAGTGCTGTATTATCGATTGGAACTAAAGTAACAAATAAATATTAATTATCTCACAATAAAAATTACTTACTAATAGCAGTAATGTTAGTGTATTTGTATTGACTCTCACTGCTTTGAATAAATTTATATTCTTGTTGAGTGTGATGAGTATTACTACACTTGTATTGCCCAGCATTTGATAAGCTAAAATTAGTTAGATGATACTGGAAATTATGTTCAGTGTAATCTTCTATATCTATAGTACTACTGTTAAGAATATCATCTTCATTATTGATCCAACTAATGTTGACAACTGTGTCCATATCAATGTATGATGGTTTGTGGTAACTAATTGAGCAGCTAAGAGTGATATTACTATCAACTTCATAGTATACATTGAGAGGAATAATAGAAGCTGTTGAGTTAATTTCATTTGGTACTACAAACAAAAGATATGATACATAAATATAAAAATATTAGACATGGCAAGTTATAGGGAAGAAAAAGTTGAAATAAAATAGTGAAAACCAAGTTTTGTTGGTTTGCAAGGTTTTGAACATGCAGAGCAAGTTTTAAGGGCATATTAGATCTGGGTGTCCCAAAAATCATTAAAATTATTGCAGTTATTAAAAAATTGATTCTTTAAAAAACTAGAAAGCCTATAGGAAGGTTGCCTTTAACATTTGCAAGATAAATATTTCATTTAATATAGGTTCCTCAAATATGAATTTTACTATGGTGAGTACCGTACACTGGTATTGAGGGTATGGGTTTTGAGGTTTTGATGGTTTTGAAGTTTGTGGGTAGTGTACACTGGTATTAAGTGTATA